TTTTTTATCCAGATCTTCCATAATACCCAGCAAAAATATCTGCGGCTTAAACTTTTATCTTTTTCTTAAAAATATTTTGAATATTCCACCATCTCTTTATCCAGAATGCCTTTACCCCCCAGCAGAGTCACCTGCAACGTCAGAATCGCTTTCTGAACTCCCTGACACTTAACTCTGTGTGCTTCATGTTCGAGAGACGTACGTTGAAACGAACATTTTCAAGGCAGAGGTCTGACCCTTTCAAAGTCTTAAGACTAACACTAAGCGACCTTTTCCCCGTTTCCTCTTTCCAGAAGATGGGGTGGGGGGGGGGGGGAAACCCTAGAATAGAGCGGCTGGGACAGGTAAACAGACACCACCCACCACCGGGGGGCGCTCTCGTTCTAACGGCCCCGAAGCGGCGCCAGTACTCCCAGGAGTCCCGCTTCGGCCCTCCAATCCGAGAGGGGAGGAACAGGACCCTCCCTCAACTCTGTTCCTACCTCTCCCTACGGCCGCGCGGTGGCTTCGGGGCTCGCCCGTTCTATCCGCGAGGAACTGAGAGACTGGACAGAGGCACGCGGCCCGAGGACACCCGACCTGTCAGAAACAAAACAAGGTCACGTGGCCGCGCCCATCGCTTTTCTCCGGAGGGGAAAGATGGAAGCGCGGTACAGTAAAACCGGCCGAACCTGTGCTCACGTGACCGTCTCCTCCGAACGCGGAAGCAAAATGGGGGGGGCGTGTTGGTGACCGCAGGGGACGTGACGTCACCATTCTAAACAAAGTCCTGATAACTACGTTCCTGTTTTCTCCTTCGTGGCTCCCCCGATCCTGTGCTTTGTACTTTAAGGCTTCACACAGGCGGGAACTGCATTTAAGACAAAATGGAAAAAAAGAGAGTTGCGAGGCGTATAGTCCAATAAACGTGCCCGAATTAAAAAAATAATCTGTTTTTTACAGACTTACCTTGAGCTAAAGCCCTTAAAAATTCGCTGCGACTTAAAGGTGTGCGGGAGGAAATTGCATTTGGTCAACTGTTCAGTTTCCAGATTTTCAACCGGCAGACATTCAACAGCCTCCCATCTAAATTTCAGGACTTAATGATTGTAACATAAACACGTATTGAAGTATCAGCCCGAATTGCCATATCCAAGTATTCTCTGACATAACACAGGAAGACAAGGAGGGTTTGTTATCAATCATATCTACATATGTCAGGTGTGGTGACTTGTAATATGCACGAGTTCTTTTTAGGCACGTGGAGTAGATAGAATGTAATTTGCCTATTATTTTAATAAATAGTGCTGCTGTAATAGCCTTATGGTTGTTAATAATAGCTTTAAGAGGTTGGATCCAATTATATATAATTTACTGACACTCAGAGAATAATCAGGAATGTAAAGATTTTACATGTTTAGTTAAATCTGAGTCCCAATCAGAACTTACATTTTTAAATATTTTATGGGGTAAAGATGTGTTAGATTTAATGTCACTTTTAAGTGGTTATCCATATAGTTGATAAATGACTGTGCATTTTACTGAATTATTTGGAAGGAGTTCCTAAGGAAACATCCTGTCTCCTATAGTGGTGAATCAGATATAATTTAAGGTGAACATATCAATGGCCATTACATTGTAGAAAACTCCATAGTATAACTATGTGTGGTATGAATGCTTCCTTTTACCTGTCCTGGATCCCAGATTATTCATCTTCATTGGATGACTGGAGAAGTGGGAGGGGAGGGGAGCTAAAATTTAAAAGTGACTCAATAAAATTTCAGATGTATTTTTGTTGTTGTTCCTGCTTCAAAACTTTACTTTGGATGGTAATTCTACTTTTATTGCTTTAGAAATATTTATTCTTTATGGTTGTATTGCTTTTAATGTTGTAAGCTGCCCAGAGTCACTTCAAGGGAAAATAAGTGGCAAACAAATTTAATAAATATATAAAAAAAAAATAGCAGGGTCTTCCATTCAAATTAATGCTTATTAGGAATGATCGCTCAATGGAATTATGTTAACAGATAAAATGCTTCCATGTCCTTGATCCTATAAAATTTGCAGTGTGTGAATGTCTGTGTCTGTAGAAGACAGAAGGAATTAATGAAAATCTACAACTCTCTTCCTTCAGTGGAGGAAGTCTGAGTGAGAGTCATATTCACAGGCATGTGTTGAGATCCAAACCAATAAATGTCCAATCAATGTACTTTCCTAATCATCAGTGCTATGTAAGTATCCCTTCTGGCAACTGGAATTAAAAGTTTTGTTAATGTGAAGAAAATATATTCTGTGCTTTGCACGTAATTGGAGTAGCCCTTGGACAATAAGTATATTTAAAAATGCACTGAATGCCAAGTGAATTTGTAAGTGGCATTAAGTTTTAGGGCACTGAAAATTAAGTTACTATAATATTGATATGTATAAAATTAAATCTATTACTATTTTTGTGAACATGAATAGGATTCCTCACATAGTTGTACAGCATTGTATTCTCTAGTACACACTTCGCATCATATTACTTTGGCTAGTAAATGCTGCCACTGCTACTCCTTGGGCTCCCTCTGTTGTTTTTATGTGTCATTTATGGCAATTGTGCACTTGAAGATTTATACCCATTTACCTGGGAATAAGTGCTATTGAACTCAGCAGGGCATTCTTCTGAGAAGACATGTAGAGGGTTGAACTGTAAATGAACTTCATGTGCTCCATGTCATGATACAGCTTAAACATATTTCTAGTTCTGTAGATTCTGTTTAAATCACGCTGATAATAAATCTGTTCGCTAGAACAAGCGGTTCCAAAATGTTTGCAGCAGCTGGAATGTGGTTATTGCTATTGCAGTAAACAAAAGAGAAAATACATTTGAGAGTTTACGGACCCTGGCAGTGACTTCCTTTACTGATGGTTTCAGTTCATGGATGCTTTGAAGGAAATGACCAAATATTTAAAGATTCTGATTGATGCTTAAAATGTTAATTGTCCAAGAGTAGGAGTGAATTGCAGACGTTTTAGAAAACATGGCAACATTAGTTTTATTACAATTAATAATTAGCTGTCCACAGCAGTAATGAACAAAGACTCTGCTGAAGCCCACTTACTTTGAGGAAAAAGGTGCTGTGCTGGATACTTTTAGGCACATGGAGACAAGTCTCTGCTTAATGTGGCCACTGAAATTTAGGCTTTGTCAATGCTCAGACAATACTCAACATAAAAATTGGATACACATCCACACGTACATAGAAGCATTAACAATATGATATAGCTAATTAAAGAAGAAAGACCAGGAAAATTATACAAACAATTCCAACCGTGTTGAACAAATTTCTTAAAAGTCCTTTCTTGAAAAAAAAAGTTTAATTCAGATGTTTATATAAACAAATATACTGTCAACCAATATTTGCCGATATTAATACCGTAATTCATTTGGATCATCTCCATTAACAAAGTTCACCAATTCTTAGAAACTTCTTGAAAGAGTCCAAGAAAAATATATGCATCCCTGACCCACAAAGATGTCTCTGAAATTGTGTCACTGTAAAAAATTATTTCCTTTGTGTTTGGTGTGTGTGGGAGTGTGTGACATGCTAGTCAAGTTAAGGCATTTTCTGAATTTTTGATATGCCAAACCCAAAAGATTAACCATCACTGCTCTAGAACGACTCAAAGATCTTACCTTACCTGGTAAAATACCCAGGAAATTCTTATATTTTTTATGCACAGTTGTTATCAGATTGGTATGACTCAGTGTTCTTGAACAAAGCTAAATTTTGTTATATAGTATTGCCTGTAAAATTGGGCAGAATTTGATTATCCCTTGATGAACTACCATCAGTTATTTATAATATTTTATCTTTTGTTTTGACTTTACTTCTAACGAGTTTTTGTTTGCAATTCTGACCAGTGACTGTAAAAAAAATATTCATACCTTTCCCCAAATCCATAAGGCAGGGGTGTCAAACTCGCAATGTCACATGACGTGTCACAATGTATCGTGATTTTTTTTTCATTGCCGGCAACGGGGTGGGCACGGTTTCGCTATAATGCATCCGGCCCACGGGCCGGCAGTTTAACACCTCTGCCATAAGGCATTCTAAAACAGGCCAGCTTGCTGTTTACATTCTGGTTGAGCTAGCTTCCCTCAAAATTCGTCAAATAGCACTGGCATTTCTGAAGACAATCGTCTTCAAAGCATTTGTGTGCTTATATGTGTGCATTCATGCATATTTCAGTAAGTTTTGAATCCTGATGAATACCTGAACTAACTTTGATCTTGCCGCCTTCCTAGGACTGTGAGGGAGTGACTGACCCAAAATCACTCAGCTGGCATCATACACAAGGGAGGGCTAGAACCGACCATCTGCCTGTTTGTAGCCTTGTTTCTTTAACCACTGTACCAAAATGGCCGTAGTAATCAGTTCTTAAGTCATATGTACTATACGGTATAACCCAGAAATAATGCAGCATAAATGCCACACATCTGAAATTCTCACCAGTCTAGTGACAAAAAGTATTAACAATCCAGTAGCAGAAAGAAAATACATTCCTATGTAAGTGCTGTGTTCCAGAGAGAGCTTAGTCTTCTTAATGGTAAACACTAAAGATTTCCAAACATTGATTTACAATGCCCTTAGTCTCAGTATTTTTTCCCCACAGCAACCCTAGTTTGTGCAGTGTCTGGTAGACATTAATTATTGCTGTTTCCCTCAAAACTGAGGTGCAGAGGTGCTAACCACAACTCTAAAAAATTGTCCTCGTAAAGTCAAATTCTTGATATTAGTACTACAGCTATGAGCTTTACTTCTGATCACAAAGGTAATCTGCATTTTGAGTGAGTGCAATACAACAGTGGAGACCAGGAGATTATATACAGTTTGGGTAGAAAATGGCCAAGTCTATCAATTTGTTTGAAAATGTAGCAGTTGAGCTACTAACTGGAGCAAGGTACAGGGCTCATATCAGTCTGTACTGAAAGATCTGAATTGGTTACCATTTATGGTATTGATACTGACCTTTCAAATTCTGAACGTTAACGACCGCTTTTCCTGTTATGAACATGCCTGGCTTATCCAATGTATGGAAAAGATCCCTTTCAAGACACACAGATCCCGCTGTCACATGGGATAATTTCTTCTGGATAGTTTCCAGGTTATGAAATGTATTTTGGGGGAAGTTGTCCCCTTGCTCATTCTCATTCACTCACTCATATAAAATATTATTTTATTTTTTTTAAAAAAATTGTTAGTCATCTTGAGTGTTTGCCAGACCAGAAAGACAAAGTATAAATCAAGTAAATATTAAAGTATGTTGAGTTTGAAACAATAGCACAATGTTAACTTTCTGAGGTTGTCAAATAGATATTAAGATCTAGTGTTAGTGTTCTCCATAGATGTGAGACATCAGTTATCGGTCATCTTCCTGAAGCAAGACAAGTTTTAGAAAGAGTACTGATGGGCTTGAATCTTCCGAATCTAAAGCCCTATGGTTCTCCTACCAGGCATAAGAGATCAACAATGCCAGGCTAGAACTGCTGTAGATAATTTCAGGAAAATTCTATTATACTGGGTGGAAAAAAGTAGGAGTTGGAAAAGCATAATAGACTATACATTATTATTAAACACAAGGACCGTTGTGTTAATTTTACTAT